CACTTGCGATAAAGAGTGTAAAACATTTTTTCTTGCTTAAAATTACCATAAAAGGAAAATTTTTAACAAAACGGACATGATCAGGAGAGAGTTTTTTATAAAATATTTTATACCATTTTATTTTTTTTGCCACATAAAAAGCTTTTTTCTTGTATTAATTTTTATATTTTGTTTAATTTTTTTTTAACATACTTGAATATATTATAATTTATTTTTTTGGCTACATCTTTATATTATTATTCTGCTTGTTATAAAAAAAAAACAGAAAGCTAAAGAATGAATGTTTTAAAGTTAAGTATAATAAGCATTAGCAAGCTTAAATTTAATATTATTTTCTTTACTATTCTAATTCTTTTCTAAACTTTATTTAATCTATTGTAAAGTATGAACCCCAAAGAGTAAATGTTGTAAAAGAGGCAAAAGAATAGATAAATTTGATATATATTATACTAATCCAATTAGGGTTTAATTAGGGCTTAAAGAATTTTTAGAATTTTTAGAATTTTAGAGATTTTAGAGATTTTGAAGATTTTGCAACATATATATAAAGAGAGAAATGTATAAGAGACAAAGCAACAATAAATACTATCTTTTTACCATAAAACTCAGATTACCATTTAACACTTTCACTTATCTCATGCTATATTTCTATGCCTTTTCCAACATTATATAATCAGTGATTATGACCTTGTGACAGACTTGCCATTATAATCCCAACAATATTGACAATTTATATTTATGAAGTAATATTAAAAAATTTTTTTAAATATGCTTTTTAATGTTTATATAATAAATAATATATTAATAAAAAAAGAGATTGTCTAAAGATAGTTTGTGCAGTACGCTTATGTGAGAAAGAATTATATTAATGTTTTTAATAAAAAATTAAAACTTTTTATAATTGAATTATAATTTCACCAACAAATCAATATTTATTTTTTAATTATATTATTTTTCTGAATTAGTATTAATCATTTGACATTACTAATATTAATCTATTTATATAGTATATAGTGGCATTATTAATCTATGCCATAATAGACTACAATTAATTTATAATATATGCAAGATTAATAATATTATAATAATGAACCTATGTTTAAATAAAATCTTGCATTTAATACCACTTTACAATTTTTAAAAAATATAAATATTATAAAGAATTTAACCAAATTTTTATATTTAAAACTTTCTAAGTATTAATTAAAAAAATTTGTGTAACAAAATTCATAATTTCTATCTATGATTTATATAAATTTTATTTGATACAATTATAAAAAAATTATATTTGAAGATTTTATGTTGCTTTGAATCAAATTTCAAATCAAAATTTTATTCAATTACAGTATTAATTAACCGTAAATATTTTTTTCAAATATAATTCCTAAAGAAATACTGTATTTATTATTTCAAAGTATTTTTAAATATACTGATAATAATATTCTCTCTGACCATAGAATAGACATGTTACTTAAATAATAAAAAATAATTTTTACATAAAACTATTCATTTAGATTAAAATAAAATTTCTCAAATTTTCTTTCTTAACCAGGAAAATAATGATATTTGAAAAATAAATTTTAAAAAAACTCATATATTTTTGGATATTAAAACTATCCAAACGAACTACTTATAGTAAAGAAAATGCAAAACATTGAATAAACCTTAGATATGATATAACATGGATTATAACTTAGTTTGTATTAAATAATGTGATTTATAAGTAACCAAGAATTATATGGCTGTTTCCTAAATATTTTTAATTGTACGGTGATTAAAAAGTATGTTAGACCTAACATCCTCATTAATCGAAAAACTCCCTGCAAAATTTAACGCAAGTGATTAAATAATAATAAACGTAAAAAATTAATTTCAAAATACTTAAAATCCGAATTGTCAAAATCGAGTAAACTTGAGTCAAGAAAGTCTTGAAATTAAAATTTGTTAGTAAAAATTTAAAAATGTATGAACGTCATAATATTTACCTGCATTGTCATTCGACAACATTTCAAGTACTTTTTCATAATTAGGGGCATTAGTTGGTCGTGATAAGTTAGAAAAACTCAAAAGTCTGCTAGTATAAACGGCATTTGGATGTGTTTTGTAGTTGAGTCCCGAGAAGTTATTATTTGGCGATTTTCTTGAAACCTCATTTTCATAATCTTTAACTTGTTCCTTAAAATATGAAGGTTCGTCCCTTTCAATCAATCCGACCCAATTATAGATTGTGTTAAATATCTCATCAGCATCTGGTCGTTTCGATGGCCTCGCATCCCAACATTGCATTATTAATCTAACTAAAAATTTCGGAGTCTTGAATGGAATTTTTGGACGTAAACCATGACAGATTCGTACAGCAAGATCTTGATCATGAGAAATATTATAGTATGGAGGAGATCCTATGATCATTTAATAGGCTACGATTCCAAATGAATAAATATCTGCTGCCGGTGTGTAATCACGATCACTTAAGACTTCGGGTGCAATATATGGAAGAACTCCATAAATTTCTTGACGAGTGGAAGTTTGTTTTTCTTCAAATATTTTACAAAGACCTAGATCTGAAATTCTCAAAATTAGCTCAGAATCATATAAAAGATTTCCAGGATGAAAGTCTCTATGAATTAATTTCTTAGAGTGCATTGCAACTAAACCAGCCGAAATATCTCTCAATGAATGTAATAATAATCTTAAATCCATATTGTAAAAATTTTCGTCCAAGTAATTCCCGAGACTGCCATTTTCTTGAAAATGAAAGACCATCATATAGCGCAATGACTCTGGCTGTTTTGTGATCCCATAACATCTAATACTATTAAGGCACCACAGAATAGAATGTTTCTCAATCTAAATTAAAATAAATTATTATATAAGAATAAAACTATAGTTAAACGAGGATAATATTCTTTACCTCATTTATGAAATCGTCAACTGAGCTAAGCTTATCTAAGCTTTTTAATGCTACTATCATTCTAGAAGACCTAATCCACTTCTTATTGAGAACATCCCATCTTTCAATAAAAACATCTTCCCGTGTCGCAGAATATACGGTACTGTATCCTCCTTTAGCGACATATTTGACATCTTGAAATTGTGTATATGGTATCCATTCTAATACCTGAAAGCGATTCTTAGCTTGAAGCTGAGACTTTTGTATAAATTCATTAATTCTTTTATCTCCACTTGTCCATTTATCAAAATCTTGTTGAAAGTGAATTCCATTACATGACATGCACCATTTATTGGGGTGTGGCATATTAGTTGATTTACAAATATAATGTACATTGTATAATCAATGATTATTGGATAATTTTCTCCAATCTATTTTTTACCGTATTAGTTATAACGAAAAAAATAAGAAATACCAATTTGAATGGTGTAAGTTATAACGAAGGTTTTCTATTTTTGAGTGGTTAAATATCTAAACAAAATAGTTAAGCTTAACATAACAATGCAAATTTTATGGGTTCTAATATAATAAAGGCAAAATTTTAATAAAATTAGCCTAACTTGTAAATAAATGTATCAAAGATTATTTCATTATAATAAAAAAATTTTTATTTAACTAAAAATGAAAAAAAATGCGTTGTTATGTTAAAATATATGTGTTTATATATAAAAATTGCTTGTCGTTTTTTGTTTCTCTTCTTTACTTCTTGATCCATTCAAATTGATAATGCCCCCCAAAAAAAGACGTTATTATCAATTAAAAAAAGCACGATCAATGCGTATTTGTGTTCAAAACAAATATAATCAAGAAATGGATTCTATTATTCATATTCTTAATAAACTTAATAATGAAAGTCTTGAAAAGATTCTTGAATATATTCAAACTATTAATAATCACAAAACTGGAATTAAAAAAAAACATCAAGATCTAATTAATCAAGTTCAACAATTATCCGAATCTCAAATTACCAATGCAACAAGTCTACTACAAACAATGGTTTATCGCAAAGGAAATCGAATTGGAGAGATTTTTTCACAATTTCTACAAAAAAAAGCGGCAGAATTTATTAATAGTACACTATATAAGGAAGAATCAAATATAAATGCTCTTCAACAAAAAATACAATCACTTCAACATGAAAATAAAAAATTACAAAAAAATAAAAAAAAATTAAGTGCCAAAGTTCATAGCTTATCAATAAGAATCGGAAAAGCAAAAAGTTATAGAGTTAGACAAGTTTCTAAACTTCGATCTACTATTCAGAAAGGAAAAAGAGTTACACCACAAAGATTTCGAAGAATGGCAAAAAAACTTTTTAAAGTTAATAAAAAAAAAATATTCTGCACAGATGGTTAAATTAGCAACAGATATAAGTTTAATTGGGGGTACCTCTTTATCGGCAACAGTAGAATGTACAAAAGCACTATATGAATTTGTTGTTGGCGAATCTGCTGAATACTGGATTATAACAAAAACTATTTCACAATGAAATAAAGAACTTGCTATAATAGCTATTAATGAATACTATCCGAATAATACCAAGTCAAAATTTTTTGGATATGGAATTATGGCTGATGAAAGTACACGTGGAGAACGAAAAATATTTATAGTTTGTATAGCCTATTGGAATTCGATCTTAAATAAATCAACAGTTATGGTTTTAGGAATGATTAATATTCTACGATGTAATGCACAAACAATAGCTCAAAAAACCTTGGAAATTTGCAACAAATACCTCTTGGATCCGGTACAAAATTATTTTTGGCTTACTGATAATACCGCATATATGTCATCTTTGGATCGAGGTGCAATTGCTCAATTTAATACTCTTGTTGATACAAATTCATTTCGAATTTCATGTGGATTGCATGCTATACATATTACAATGATGAATTTTGAAAATATCGCTTTTGGAAAAATTATATCACCATCGGGTTTATCTTTAAAAGAACATCCTTTTAATATTTTAAACTTGGTTTATTATCTACATAATGGATATAGTTTAAGTAATAAAGATACACCATGTAATATGAAAGCAAGCATTATCAAAGAATTATATAAAAATTTTTTGAATTATGATTTAAAAAATTATCAACAACCTATTCAACAACGTTGGACTTATGAATTGAAAACGGCACAACAATATTTTGAACGATATCCATTTCATCAACAATTTGCTCCCTGGATTATTCAAGAATTGCAACAATGGCCAAATATTCCTAAAGCATATCTTCAAAAATGGATTTTGTTTAATGAATGGATAAATAATAAGGAGCTTAATTTACAACTCAAATGTATAGTTAAGTTCGGAGAATGGTTTTATGAACCAATTTTTAATTTTTTAATCTCTTATGATCCAATACCTCGAATTTATCAAGAAGATGGCATTAAGTTACTTTTAGCTGGCAACCGTGCTCATGAATTGCCTGGTCAAGTAATTATATGGATTAATAAGCTTAAGTTTGCAACTCAAAATATTTTTGAAATTTTTAATGAAGAATTAAGTGAAGCAAAAAATAATTTATCACAAGAAAAGTTTGATAATTTATATCAAAACTTATTTAACGGTATACAAAAAGCTTCTGAGGGATTTTTAAAATGGATGGATATGTGGATTCATTTACCTTTAAGCATTTGTTGTTTAGGTAGTGATTCTGGTCATGAATTTGCACGAGTATTTCTTAAGGTATTTTATTCTTTTGAGTATGAATTAGAATTGACAATCAAGGAAATTTTATATATCAAAAATTTAAAAAGAGATTGGGATAAGGGTTTTAAAATACATTTGGACTCTTGGAAGCTTTAAATGATAATGAATTTTTTCAACAATTTAAAGAGTTTGCATTTTCGAATTTAAGACCATCATGGGAATTTTCTCTTATTTATGATTTTATTAAGAATCGAATTTGGTGTATCGTTGTTCATCAACAACAAATTGAAGGCTTATTTAATCAGTATGACATAAAAACACATTCAAATATGAGTGAATCACTTCAAGAGTCACGAATGCAACTTTCAAGATTTAAAAATATTAATTTAGATAATAGTATATTACAAAAAGTTCGTAAAGATATACAAAATAGAAATGAATATACTCAAAATAATAATATAGATAATGGAAAACAACGTGCGAAAGATATACTTGTATCAATTCTTAGTTAATAAATTACTACGTATCACTATATTGATATCAAAAAAATCTGTATTAATAATAATTATTATATCGTTTGTATTATAATTGTAAATCAACTAATATGCCACACCCCAACCATTTATATCCTGTAAATTCTTTATTACATTCAGGACAATATTCAGTCATATTTGATCTCTTTAACCCGAATTTTCTACTGAATACAATACCGTATTATATGCATCGCATAGTGTTACACAAAACAATAGGCCTCGAACTCTGGGCCCCAGAATAACTACCCAAAAATTTTATACTGTATATGTATATGGGTACAGTAATTCTTTTTAAAGGTAGCCAGGAAATTTTTTGACCCCAAAATCAAAATGATTTGTACATGTACAAAAACAAATTTTCCTTATATATTTCCGGATGTTTTAATGACATATACTATATTTATCAATTGATATTATATTTTTAATATTACCTAGTATATTATTTTATAAAATGTAATATAATTATTTAGACAGAATATATGAATTTGTAAAGAAGAGTTTGTAAAAAACAACAAATAATAGATAGAATAAGTGGGTTTGTAAAACATGTAAAGCAATAGATCTGTAAAATATGAAGCAAAGTGAATAGATTTGCGAAAAGTGAGGTGAATGGATTTGCAAAATGTAAAATAAAATGTATAGGTTTATAAAACATAAAGTGGAGCAAATTATTTCCTACACATGAAGCGAAGTGTGGGTGGAAAATAAAATGTGTGGGTTTGTAAAATGTAAAGTAAAATTGATAAGTTTGTAAAACATGAAAAAGGATAAGAAGGCTTGTGAAATGTGAGGTGGAATAGGTGGATATGCGGAATATGAAGTAGGGTGAATAAGTTTGCAAAACATGAAATTGAATAAATAAGTTTGTGAAATATGAAATGATTGGATTCACGAAATATAAAGTAAGAAGAGTGAATTTGCAAAACGTGAAATAGGCTCGTGAAGTGTGAAGTGAAGTAAATAAGTTGCAAAACATGAGATAGAATAAATAGGTTTACTAAATGTAAAATAAAGCTAATAGGTTCACAAATATCATGTAAAATGGAAAGGTTTGCAAAATATAAAGTACATGGGTGAAACGTGAAATGAAATAAATAAATTTATAAAATAAAAGTGAAGCAAATAAGTTTGCAAAATATAAGGTAGAATAAATAATTTTGCAAACATAAAATGATATAAATGGATTTGTAAGGTATTAAATAGTTGTTAAAACGTGAAAAACCGAAGGTGAAGTAAAGAAGTTTATAAAACTTGAAGTGAAATAGACAGAATTGTAAAACGTGAAGTAAAACCAGAGGTTTGTAAAATGTGAGGTGAGATAAATTGATTCATGAATAAAATAAATGGGTTTTCAAAACGTGAAGTAAAATAGATAGGTTCATAAAATATTAAGTAAAATAGATAAGTTTATAACGTGAGATAAATAGATAATATGCAAAATGTAAAGTAAATGGGTTTGCAAAACATGAAGTTAAATGGGTAGAATTATGAAATGTGAAGTGTAACAAATAGATTTGTGATGAAGTAAATAGGTCAGTGAAACGTAAGGCAAAATAGAAGGTATGCAAAAAGGGAAGTGGAGTAAAGAGATTTGTGAAATATGAAGTAGAATAATAGGTTTACAAAAATACGAGATAAAATAAAGTAAATAAATTTGCAAAACGTGAATCAAATGAGTATAATCGTGAATTATAAGGTGGAATAAATAGGTTTGCGAAATGTGAAGCAGAACAGATGGGTTTTTAAAATATGAAGCAGAACAGATGAGTTTGTAAAACGTGAAGCAGAATAGAAATGTTTACAAAATATGGAGTAAATAGATTCGTGAAATGTGAAATGAAATATGATTTACCAAAACATGAAGTGGAATAGGTTTGTAAAATGTGGGATGAAGTAAATGATTTGTAAAACGTGAAGTAAAATAAGTAAATTCGTAAAATGTAAGGTAAAATAAAAAGCTGCTAAACAGGAAATAAAAAAATTAGTTTGCGAAACTTAAAGTGAAATAGGTATTTGCGAAATGTGAGATGAAATGAATGAGATGAAGTAAATAAAATCATGAAATGTAAATAAAATAGATATGTTTATGAAATATGAGATAAAATAAGTAGGTTTGCAAAATATGAGATGAAATAAGTAGGTTTGCAAAATATGAAATTAAGTAAAGGAATTGTGAAATATGAAGGTTTGAAAATATAAAATAAAGTAAATTGGTTTGAGTAAAATAGTAGGTTAGTGAATGTAATATGGAATGAATAGTGATTGATTCCAATCATATGACACAATAATTGTAAATTCTAGATTCCTAGAGCCCCTAAAATCTCAATAATTCTAGGGATTTTTGTTATCCTAGTGATTTTAAGAATCACTAGTGTAAGAGGGGTTGAAAATTAAATAGATTTAACATATGTAATCCTTACTCAATTATGGTTTAATTGGGGCTTAAGGGATTTTTGGAATTTTTCTAACATACTGTATATAAAAGAAAGAAATGTACTAGAGAAACAAGTAACAATAAAAACCATTCTTTAAAATTACAATTCAGATTATTATCTAACATTTTTACTTATCTCATGCCATATCTCCACATCTCTATTTGACATTATATGATCAGTGATTATAATATAGCAACAGACTTGTCATTACAACTCTCACATTAAAATAATTGAAATTTAAAAAATAGTAAAGAATAGTTTTTACAATTAATATAATATATAATAATAATTATTTAATAAATTAAATTTTTCAATAAAAAATATAAAAGATTTTGAGTAGTACTTTGGTTTCAAATATAATTATTAAAGTTTATATTGAAAATTGTATAAAAAATTTGAATCAAATTCTTTTCATATTTCAAGTTTTACAAAACTATATCAATTATAAACCAGAGAAGCCTCTAGTCTTTTATAATATATTTGCAAAATAAAAAGTTTATGAAATATAATATAAAGTAAATAGGTTTGTAAAATATAAAATTAAATTAAATAAATTTGTAAAATATGAAGTTATAAAATATAAAATAATATTTATTTTAATTATATATAATTAAATATTGTTAATAAAAAATATATATAGCATTAAAATATAAAACAATATATATATATAATTTATATACTGTATATATACAGTCCCCTTCAATAAATAAAGAACCACTTAAGAATTATTATAATCGAACGGAAATAGTTGTTATATATTAAACTTTTTATTTTATTAATAAAACCAACTTTTATATATTAAGTAAACTTGTTTTTCATAATGAATTCTATATATGGTTAAATTTACTAAATTTGAACAAATTTTTATTATTACATTTAATAATTTTTTTGTTAAATTTTAACACCTAAGTGATTTTTATAACCTTTGTTTTAATAAGCAATTTAATATTAATAAATTTAGTTCAGCATATATTTAAGTATTTAAATATAAAGTTTTTCATAAATTTTTACCTGATATTTAAAGTTTTATTTAATAAAATATACAGTTTTTTAAAAATAACAAATTATTAAATTTTTATATTTAATTATAATTATTAATTAATCTAAATTAATTATTAATAATTGTTACATATAAATTATTATTATTATTATTAAAACTTACTTTTGCGTACTAAGTAAAGTTATTTTTCAATATAAAATATATATTCTGTAAAATTTTTATTAAATATAAATAAATATTTAATATTGAATTTTATAATTTTTTTAAAATAATTTTTTTTTACATTTTATTAAATAAAAATTTAAATACCAGATAAAAATTTATGAAACTTAATATTTAAATACTTTAACATATGCTAAACAAAATTTATTAATATCAAATTTTTTGTTAAAACAGTAATTATAAAAATTGTATAGATATCAAAATTTTAATAAAAAATTAAAAAATTTTTATTCAGAAAAAAATCATTAAGTGCAATAATAAAAATTTGTTTAAATTTAATAAAATTTATCATATATAGAATTCATTATGAGGAACAAGTTTATTTAATACATAAAGGTTGTTTTTATTAATAAAATAAAAGGTTTAATTTTTTTTTAATCCTGCAATCAGGTTGGTGTCATTTATTTATTAAATTATAAAGAACTATTACATGCACGAAAATGCATGCAAAGTACAGTTTTCTTGACCCAACTCACATATCTTTAGCTAAAGTCTCTAAATATGATTTATGGGGTGATATATTGTTCCCTTAAAGAATAAAATTAAGATCTCGAACTTCTGATAGGATTTAAACCTGCAGATTATTTCCACAGTCACGACCATAAATCCAAATTGTGTCACTCCCTCTTATAGAAACTACTCAAGGTAAAAAGAAATAAAAAAAGTGATTTTTTTTTGACAAAGAGAAAAGAAAAAAAGCTATCATCTATTCTAACTATAATTGAAAAGGTTATCTCAATGAACTTAAAACCCAAGCCCCTCATGATTTCCCATTTCTCACTACCTGTGGCCAGTCAAACTGTTTAATTTTCATTGAAATAATTGATGTCTAAGAATGTTTAAGGGCATTTTCAGGAGAGTATTTCTTGAAACTTTACACTTGAAGACTTTTAACCAAAAATGATGTTGATTTTCTATTGTTGATTACTCTCTCAAATCATGTCTTTTGGAATTATTGCTTCACTC